GGGTGTTTTGTGCAAAAGAGGCAATATGGCCGAATTTTTTAGGGGGCTTATTTGCAAAATGGGACTGAAATTTTGAGGCTTGGATTTCATACCATTTTGGTAACAATTTGGATGGGTGTTTCATGCAAAAAGACCATACCTCATTGAGGGTTTTATGTGCAAATGTGGGGCCGAAGATTTTTGGGGGCTTATTTGCAAAATTGGCCGAAGAGTTGGGGTGGTGTTCATGTAGTAGAGGACTGAAGTTAGGACCTAGATTACATGTTCATTTGGCCGAAAGTTTGAGGGGTACTTTAGGCAAAAGGACCAAAAGTTATTGGAGGGGTTTTTATGCAAAATTGGCCCAATTCTGCAAAAGGGCTTATTTGCAAAATTTAACCAAAATTGTGGGGTATCAGGGGGTACTATATGATCAGTTATGATGACCACGACCCAACCCGGGCGTGTCCTTGACCTGAATTCTGGCCTTGAACACTAAGGGTATTTTGGGTATTTCACCAAAATTCACCGTGAAAGATGACAATCATCGTGCACGAAATTTGTAGGTTTAATTAGACTTCAATTATGAAATCCTATTTGTGTATAGGATTTTAATTAAAGTTCTTAATTTCCCTTTTAAATTTCGTATAGAGCGGCCGCAAAACAGGAGCTCGCGATTCGTTCGACACAAAAGGAGAAAAGTTGTAATCTTTGTTTATTTTTATTTGATTTTCGTTGTAACCGGATCTTATAAAAAGACCGGATCTTTAGTAACTCAAAAAGTTGTAACTCAAAGATGACAATGGAATCAATAACAAAGAAACCTACGATTTTCCCCGCGAATAGAGGGTAAGGTTTCAGACTTGTTTTGCTTAGCCAATTCAAGTCTCCGGTATATTGGGGCGATTTTGTGTTTGTCCTACACCTTATAGAGCCAATTCAAGTCTCCGGTATATTGGGGCGATTTTGTGTCGTCCTACGCCTTATAGGCCGGTGTATGTCACCACGTTATTCACGTGATGATGCATACCGTTCTTCCGGTGTAGGACACTTAAAATCGTCTCTCCAATTATTCCGCGAATGAGTTTATCATTCTTCTTATGAGATGGATTATCTGATCTCACCCTTGTGCTTTATTGCAGTGGAATTTCCCGCGGGTAGCCTTCCTTCTCATGCCAAACAGCCGGCTGTAGTCGGAGGTTTTCTCTTCTGCTTACCCTTAAGGCAGGCTGGTTAGCCCACTTCCTCGGTCGACGGGGATCGCTCAAACGACTCTTGCTGCTTGATACAGCGAGCTGACGGGCGCCATTCGTTTGCGCCAGTTATCACAGTATGCTCCCTTTCACCCGGATTCTACCTCCACTGCAGGGGACTTTAAGGAAGCGAGTTTCCTGTTTGGAGATCATTGTCAAAGATCCTGCTACCGCTGACCCTTTGCGTAGGAGCATTGTGCAACTCTGCGACGGGCGGAGCTTGTTTGTACATCCCTTCGATCCACGCCATTATTCTTTCATCACTTGCAAGGCAAGCCGTGGACAGCACGGATGTCTTGGCCATCTTACTGAAGATGCTGAGCGGCGTTAAGTGCGGATATACTATCACCATAGACTCCTGGCTCTGACGCGAGTTTCATGAGTTACGTACTCTCTCTTGAAGAACCAGTGCTACATAGAGCCTTATCTCCCTTGCCGCTTTGCTCGCCAATTCGGCTATGACCAACTGTATGTCGGGAATCCGAGCCGTAGCCTGCAGGTTGAGGGAGGACTGATTGATGGCGTACGAGCGTGGCTATGGACAATGGTGGGCTGCACTGGAGCCCGTTTTGCTCTCCCTTCATATCGTCGTAAGCCATTGGTTACTTTCCTCAGCTGCAAGTGGTTCCTTTCTGCCTATGAGTCCATCAGCGTTAAGAGTCTCTCAGAATTACAGTCCGAGTATGCAGTCCGGGCCGCTATGATGGCTGGTCGCAGGGCTGAGCTTGCTCAGAAGCGGAGAAAAGGGCACACCAAATCTCCTCTCACAGTCGAGGAAGAGCTCCTCCCTACGGGTGACGATGAGGGGACCTCCGGGGAGGAATATGTGGATGCAGATACCGGCAGAGGGGATCTCGATACCGGTTTGTCCTGTCTCTTTTAATTTTCCTTTTCCATAAATGACAGCTCTTTTTCATTGAAATGGCTATTGTCACTTTAGGTAGGGCAGCCAATGATCATGAGCCACCAGCTCCTACACACGTTGAAACGTGTGATAGGCCTGCGCATGTTCGACCCGTTGGCCCTCGGAGGGTTGGTGCCCCGAAGAGGAAGAAGACCGTCCATAAGCCCCATGACGGTCAGCGTCCCTATGGAGTGGACTTAGGGAGCACCGCCGATGGAGGGGGAGGTAATATTCAATTGCTCTTGTTTCAAGGTTGTTTACCTTTTGGGATTTGTAACCATGTTTTGTGCTCCAGGTTTCTTCGAAGAGGGCGAACTCCCACCGGGTTCGGCGTCCCCTGGTGTTGACAATATGGATTGCTTTGTGCAACAAATGTGCGATGCTCTTCACGACGGGTCCTTGGGCATCGATCTAAACATCGACCTTGAGCAGATGAATAATGTTGAGCCCGCAGTCCCTTATTCAGGTATATCCACATTCAATGTCATTTTCCTCAAGCATGGGGAAGGAAGACTTCCCGTTTTTGCTGAAAGTATCTCCTCGAGCTTTCCTCATCTTTCAACATTCAGGTTACCCTGCAGATGTTGTGATGGAGGGGCCAAGCTTCTCGAAGCCGGATGCCGGCTTATTAGCTGACATGTTGGCTGAGCAGACTTCCAGAGGGACCGAGAGACCATTCTTTAGGAGTGATTCGCCTACCGGTACATATCTGATTCTTCTCCTCTTGCCCGATCTTTTATTTGACTAATGAATGATTGACTATCGCAGCGTCAACTATTGGAGTTAGCCCGGTATCTATCCCTGGCATATCCAGTTTGCCTCAGAGTGACGGGCTTGCAGGTATGCATACGACTTAGGGATATCGTACTTTCTTATGTTCATCCGTCTTTTGACTAATATATGAGTGCAATCATAGGACCAGTCACTAGGACTGATTCTCATATGACTCCCGGCATCCCTCAAATGCCTACGGATGATGGATCTACAGGTATGCAGATGACTGTACTATCCCAATCCTTCTTATTCGTCTAAAATTTTTATTTTGACTAATAAGAGAATGCCATCATAGGACCAGCCGCTTGGGCCGATACTCTCATGACTCTTGGCATCCCGGCTGCATCTGAGGACGGGGGGATTGCAGGTATGCATACGATTTTCTTGTCCCGATTCTCCTTACTTATCCAAATTTCCATTTGGTTAACATAGGAGTGTCACTGTAGGACCAGACGTCGGGCCCGATACTACTACAGACCCCGGGGCTGAAAGTCTTCATAGCAGTGGTGCCTCCCCATCTTTGCCGAGTGGTGCGAGCAATCCGCCTGCAGGGGCTGAATTTGATGGCGTGGTTCGTTCTTCACCGTCCCGACTTGATGTCAGCACCCAGCGTTGTTGACATCCCTGTCCCCTTCATGCAATTGTTGGAGCAGAGCAGATGGCTTGGGAGCAAATTCAGTGATGTTCAACGAGAGCTTCGGGTCCGCAAGAGTTGGGAGTTCTTTAAGTGTTTTCCTCACTTTTCAGGTCGCTATGGCGACGTGCTGATGGATGAGGAAAAACCTAGAAGTGATCGGACCGTTCTCGACGCTGGTTGCTTCCGGTGGCTAGTGAACATCCGTGTTGGGTATCTCGTCCTCCGGGTGAAGAACCAATGCCACATAGAGCCTTATCTCCCTTGCCGCTTTGCTCGCCAGTTCGGCTATGACCAACTGTATGTTGGGAATCCGAGCCGTAGCCTGCAGGTTGAGGGAGGACTGATTGATGGCGTACGAGCGTGGCTATGGACGATGGTGGGATGTACTGGAGCTCGCTTTGCTCTTCCTTCGTATAGGCGTAAGCCACTGATCACTTTCCTCAGCTGCAAGTGGTTGCTTTCTGCCTATGAGTCCATCAGCGTGAAGAGCCTCTCAGAGTTGCAGTCCGAGTATGCAGTCCGGGCTGCTATGGTGGCGATTCGCAAAAATCTCCTCTCACAGTCGAGGAAGAGCTCCTCCCTACGGGTGACGATGAGGGGACCTCCGAGGAGGAAGATGTGGATGCAGCTACCGGCAGAGGGGATCTCGATACCGGTTTGTCCTGTCTCTTTTAATTTTCCTTTTCTATAAATGACAGCTCTTTTTCATTGAAATGGCTATTGTCACTTTAGGTAGGACAGCCGATGATCATGAGCCACCAGCTCCTACACACGTTGAAACGTGTGATAGGCCTGCGCATCTTCGACCCGTTGGCCCTCGGAGAGTGGGTGCCCCGAAGAGGAAGAAGACCGCCCATAAGCCCCATGACGGTCAGCGTCCCTATGGAGTGGACTTAGGGACCACCGCTGATGGAGGGGGAGGTAACATTCAATTGCTCTTGCTTCAAGGTTGTTTACCTTTTGGGACTTATAACCATGTTTCGTGCTCCAGGTTTCTTCGAAGAGGGCGAACTCCCACCGGGTTCGGCGTCCCCTGGTGTTGACAACATGGATTGCTTTGTGCAACAAATGTGCGACGCTTTTCACGATGGGTCTTTGGGCATCGACCTTAACATCGATCTTGAGCAGATAAATAATGTTGAGCCCACAATCCCTTATTCAGGTATATCCGCATCCAATGTCATTTTCCTTATGTAAGGTGAAGGAAGATTTCTCGTTTGAGCTTTCCTCATCCTTCAACATTTGGGTTACCCTGCAGATGTTGCGATGGAGGGGCCAAGCTTCTCGAAGCCGGATGCCGGCTTATTAGCTGACATGCTGGCTGAGCAGACTTCCAGAGGGACCGAGAGACCATTCTTCGGGAACGATTCATCTACCGGTATATATCTGATTTTCTCCCTCTTGCCCGATATTTCATATGACTAATGAATGATTGATTATCGCAGCGTCAACCATTGGAGTTAGCCCGGTATCTATCCCTGGCATATCCAGTTTGCCTCAGAGCGACGGGCTTGCAGGTATGTATACGATTCAGGGATATTGTACTTTCCTATGTTTATCTGTCTTTTGACTAATGAGTGCAATCATAGGACCAGCCGCTAGGACTGATTCTCATATGACTCCTGACATCCCTCAAATGCCCGCGGATAATGGATCTACAGGTATGCAGATCCCAATTCTTCTTATTCGTCTAAATTTTCATTTTGACTAATAAGAGAGTGTCATCATAGGACCAGCAGCTTGGGCCGATACTCGCCTTCTATAATGGCCTGATCGAGAAGCTTCTTCACCGAGGAGGCGGCTTTGATCAGTTCCGGCGTTCCTTCTCTCGCCACATGACGATGATGAGGGAAGAAGGATATCCGGAATTGGCTGATTCCTTCACTGCTGATTTCGCCGCCCTGGAGTCAGAGATACGAGAGTTGAAGGAACTGGAGGTTACCGGGGCTTCTTCTTTCGTGTCCTCTGAGTTGGAGCATAGGATGGCGCAGTGGCGTGACCTGAGATCTTCCATCGGGTGTGAGCTTCAGTCACGTGAGAGCTCCATTGCGCATCTAATGGCTAACATGGCGAGGAAGGATAGGGAGAAAGCTGAGTTACTCCGCTCCTTGGACTTAAATCGCGAGGAAGCGACTAGGTTGAAGGAGGCCTTGAAGCGTGCCGAGGAATCTGCCGTTCTTATCGCAGATGACCTGATTGGACTAGAGCCTTCTCGTGACCAGGTACTCGAGGAGCTCGAATCTACTCAGGAGGAACTGATGAAGTTGAAGAGTGAAGCTGCGGGGATTTTGAGCTGTTCCGAAGAATCTGTTCGAGCTGATCTGCTGGCAGAACTCGAGCGGAGTTATGTAGATAGACTCTTTAGCTTAAAGTCTCACATTCTCAGCCGTCAGATGCCTAGAAACTCTGCATTTGCTTCTTTTGTGATTTCTCTGTATTTTTTTTTCGAATGACAGATTTATGGGATTTTTGGCAAACCCCCAGCCATCAACGGGTTTGATGTGCCTTTACCGATTACCGTTTGAATCGGGCTAGCATGTGGATTGTCTAGATCCGTTCCACACGTAACGTTGTGCTAAGAGAGTAAACTCTCTGAGGCTTTGTGCTACGATTTTGAATACATAGGCTTCGTCTTTCTCACGGGAATAGACTACCCGGCAACGCGTGTTAGGCGTTGACTTATCCCTATTTAGGCTTCGGGATAAAATTCCCCGTGCATGAAAATTGCTTTTCTTAGATTTGATGCTATGACTTTGAATACATAGACTTCGTCTTTCTTACGGGAATAGACTACCCGGCAACGCGTGTTAGGCGTTGACTTTGGGATTTTTGGCAAACCCCCAGCCTTCAACGGGTTTGATGTACCTTTACCGATTACCGTTTGAATCGGGCTAGCATGCGGATTGTCGAAATCCGTTCCGCATGTAACGTTGTGCTAAAGGAATGAACTCCCTTAGACTTAATGCTACGACTTTGAATACGTAGACTTTGCCCTTGTTACGGGAATAGGCTACCCGGCAACACGTGTTAGGTGTTGACTTATCCCTACTTAGGATTCGGGATAAAATTCCCCATGCACCAAGTGCGCGGATTGGAAGTTGAAAGTTGTGTCAAATAGGAGAGGAAGAATGTTATATTCTATCTCCCGCTGGAAAGGAAACTTGAGGTGGGATTCCCCACCCCCAGTATCTGGAAGGATGAACTGGGAATGGGATCTCCACTCCAAGCACCCGGAATGATGAACTGGGAGTGGGGTCGCCACTCCGAGCATCGGAAAGGTCCGAGGAGAGGAAGAATTTTATATTCTATCTCCCGGTGCTAAAGAGGAAGAATTTTATATTCTATCTTCAGCTGGAAAAGAAACTCGAGGTGGGATTCTCCACCCCCAGTATCTGGAAGGATGAACTGGGAGTGGGATCTCCACTCCGAGCATCGGAAAGGTCCGAGGAGAGGAAGAATTTTATATTCTATCTCCCGGTGCTAAAGAGGAAGAATTTTATATTCTATCTTCAGCTGGAAAAGAAACTCGAGGTGGGATTCTCCACCCCCAGTATCTGGAAGGATGAACTGGGAATGGGATCTCCACTCCGAGCACCCGGAATGATGAACTGGGAGTGGGGTCGCCACTCCGAGCATCGGAAAGGTCCGAGGAGAGGAAGAATTTTATATTCTATCTCCCGGTGCTAAAGAGGAAGAATTTTATATTCTATCTTCAGCTGGAAAAGAAACTCGAGGTGGGATTCTCCACCCCCAGTATCTGGAAGGATGAACTGGGAATGGGATCTCCACTCCGAGCACCCGGAATGATGAACTGGGAGTGGGGTCGCCACTCCGAGCATCGGAAAGGTCCGAGGAGAGGAAGAATTTTATATTCTATCTCCCGGTGCTAAAGAGGAAGAATTTTATATTCTATCTTCAGCTGGAAAAGAAACTCGAGGTGGGATTCTCCACCCCCAGTATCTGGAAGGATGAACTGGGAATGGGATCTCCACTCCGAGCACCCGGAATGATGAACTGGGAGTGGGGTCGCCACTCCGAGCATCGGAAAGGTCCGAGGAGAGGAAGAATTTTATATTCTATCTCCCGGTGCTAAAGAGGAAGAATTTTATATTCTATCTTCAGCTGGAAAAGAAACTCGAGGTGGGATTCTCCACCCCCAGTATCTGGAAGGATGAACTGGGAATGGGATCTCCACTCCGAGCACCCGGAATGATGAACTGGGAGTGGGGTCGCCACTCCGAGCATCGGAAAGGTCCGAGGAGAGGAAGAATTTTATATTCTATCTCCCGGTGCTAAAGAGGAAGAATTTTATATTCTATCTTCAGCTGGAAAAGAAACTCGAGGTGGGATTCTCCACCCCCAGTATCTGGAAGGATGAACTGGGAATGGGATCTCCACTCCGAGCACCCGGAATGATGAACTGGGAGTGGGGTCGCCACTCCGAGCATCGGAAAGGTCCGAGGAGAGGAAGAATTTTATATTCTATCTCCCGGTGCTAAAGAGGAAGAATTTTATATTCTATCTTCAGCTGGAAAAGAAACTCGAGGTGGGATTCTCCACCCCCAGTATCTGGAAGGATGAACTGGGAATGGGATCTCCACTCCGAGCACCCGGAATGATGAACTGGGAGTGGGGTCGCCACTCCGAGCATCGGAAAGGTCCGAGGAGAGGAAGAATTTTATATTCTATCTCCCGGTGCTAAAGAGGAAGAATTTTATATTCTATCTTCAGCTGGAAAAGAAACTCGAGGTGGGATTCTCCACCCCCAGTATCTGGAAGGATGAACTGGGAATGGGATCTCCACTCCGAGCACCCGGAATGATGAACTGGGAGTGGGGTCGCCACTCCGAGCATCGGAAAGGTCCGAGGAGAGGAAGAATTTTATATTCTATCTCCCGGTGCTAAAGAGGAAGAATTTTATATTCTATCTTCAGCTGGAAAAGAAACTCGAGGTGGGATTCTCCACCCCCAGTATCTGGAAGGATGAACTGGGAATGGGATCTCCACTCCGAGCACCCGGAATGATGAACTGGGAGTGGGGTCGCCACTCCGAGCATCGGAAAGGTCCGAGGAGAGGAAGAATTTTATATTCTATCTCCCGGTGCTAAAGAGGAAGAATTTTATATTCTATCTTCAGCTGGAAAAGAAACTCGAGGTGGGATTCTCCACCCCCAGTATCTGGAAGGATGAACTGGGAATGGGATCTCCACTCCGAGCACCCGGAATGATGAACTGGGAGTGGGGTCGCCACTCCGAGCATCGGAAAGGTCCGAGGAGAGGAAGAATTTTATATTCTATCTCCCGGTGCTAAAGAGGAAGAATTTTATATTCTATCTTCAGCTGGAAAAGAAACTCGAGGTGGGATTCTCCACCCCCAGTATCTGGAAGGATGAACTGGGAATGGGATCTCCACTCCGAGCACCCGGAATGATGAACTGGGAGTGGGGTCGCCACTCCGAGCATCGGAAAGGTCCGAGGAGAGGAAGAATTTTATATTCTATCTCCCGGTGCTAAAGAGGAAGAATTTTATATTCTATCTTCAGCTGGAAAAGAAACTCGAGGTGGGATTCTCCACCCCCAGTATCTGGAAGGATGAACTGGGAATGGGATCTCCACTCCGAGCACCCGGAATGATGAACTGGGAGTGGGGTCGCCACTCCGAGCATCGGAAAGGTCCGAGGAGAGGAAGAATTTTATATTCTATCTCCCGGTGCTAAAGAGGAAGAATTTTATATTCTATCTTCAGCTGGAAAAGAAACTCGAGGTGGGATTCTCCACCCCCAGTATCTGGAAGGATGAACTGGGAATGGGATCTCCACTCCGAGCACCCGGAATGATGAACTGGGAGTGGGGTCGCCACTCCGAGCATCGGAAAGGTCCGAGGAGAGGAAGAATTTTATATTCTATCTCCCGGTGCTAAAGAGGAAGAATTTTATATTCTATCTTCAGCTGGAAAAGAAACTCGAGGTGGGATTCTCCACCCCCAGTATCTGGAAGGATGAACTGGGAATGGGATCTCCACTCCGAGCACCCGGAATGATGAACTGGGAGTGGGGTCGCCACTCCGAGCATCGGAAAGGTCCGAGGAGAGGAAGAATTTTATATTCTATCTCCCGGTGCTAAAGAGGAAGAATTTTATATTCTATCTTCAGCTGGAAAAGAAACTCGAGGTGGGATTCTCCACCCCCAGTATCTGGAAGGATGAACTGGGAATGGGATCTCCACTCCGAGCACCCGGAATGATGAACTGGGAGTGGGGTCGCCACTCCGAGCATCGGAAAGGTCCGAGGAGAGGAAGAATTTTATATTCTATCTCCCGGTGCTAAAGAGGAAGAATTTTATATTCTATCTTCAGCTGGAAAAGAAACTCGAGGTGGGATTCTCCACCCCCAGTATCTGGAAGGATGAACTGGGAATGGGATCTCCACTCCGAGCACCCGGAATGATGAACTGGGAGTGGGGTCGCCACTCCGAGCATCGGAAAGGTCCGAGGAGAGGAAGAATTTTATATTCTATCTCCCGGTGCTAAAGAGGAAGAATTTTATATTCTATCTTCAGCTGGAAAAGAAACTCGAGGTGGGATTCTCCACCCCCAGTATCTGGAAGGATGAACTGGGAATGGGATCTCCACTCCGAGCACCCGGAATGATGAACTGGGAGTGGGGTCGCCACTCCGAGCATCGGAAAGGTCCGAGGAGAGGAAGAATTTTATATTCTATCTCCCGGTGCTAAAGAGGAAGAATTTTATAT